GCGATGGGGATTTTTCTTTGTGTTTGTTTGTTCGGTATGGGTGTGATTTTGCTTTCTAACCGAGATATGGTTTCTCTGATTGTACAAATAGAATTGAGCAATGTGTATGATGGGTCCTAAATCTGTTCGTTTCGAATTGTATTGTCCTACGTGTGTATCATGCTATGGAGTGTAGGTGTAGGTTGTAAGTAGTGATGGTGGTATCAGAGGTGCTGATGGATGCTTTGAATCGGAGCCATTGCTTCCGAAATGTCTGTAAAAGAGACAACCCATTAAACTTTACTAGACCAACTAAAATATAGTCGAGACGAATTCAATCAAAATCAAGAAAATCAAGAAAATCAGGAAAGTCACGGCAATGTGTTGCCGTTGGGCGATTGCGCCGCGGCTGGCCGGCGAGGAAAATCATGGGCGCGAAAAAAACTCCGAGGTCAATTCAAGGTTGCAAAGCGGAGAACCCGAACGAAAGCTGCTTCTCCTCCTCCTCCTCCTCCTCCTCCTATTGAATCATCCCGGGTCCCCTCAGTCCCTCCCCTCTCTTTCCCCCCCTCCTCCGTCCCTTTAGTCCACTTCTCCCCCCCCCTTAAAACCCGGCTGTGGTCTGCCTCATGTTGGTCCGACACAGTGCTTGCCGGTTTTCAACGCCGTCGAGCTGGATCTCGCGGCTTTCACCAGCCACCACCATGCCTCTCCGCGCAAAAGTCACTAACCGAGCCTTCACGGCTTCTGCTACCAATGTACGCTCCGTCAATTGTCTTAATCGAGCTTTGGATGCTAATCGATTCCAGATGAAAAGCGCTCCCACCCCCGCAGAGGACGACGTTCTATTCAGCTCTCTCTACGGCGTGCGGCTGATCGAGCTCAACCGCCCCGAGAAGCTCAATGCCTTGAACCGGTCGATGGTCAACAAAATCACCCCTCGCCTGGAGGTAAGCGAGTGTCCCTCCGATTCGATTCGCCCTTCGAATGGCCCTTGGGCGGGTACTAACAAGCTTGATCGATCGAATAGGAATACAAGAAGTCTCAGCTTGCCAACGTGATCATGGTGGCCGGAGCCGGCGACAAAGCGATGTGCGCCGGTGGAGATGTTGTTGACTTGGCCAAGCAGAACAGAGAGAGTGAGGACGGGCCGGAAAGATCCAGCGAGTTCTTCGCCAGGGAATACAAGCTCGACCACCTCATCGCCACCTACCCCAAGCCCTTCATCTCCGTGATGGACGGCATCACCATGGGCGGCGGGGTGGGCCTCAGCGCCCACGCGCCGTTCCGCATTGCCACCGAACGAACTATCTTCGCCATGCCCGAGACCAACATCGGCTTCTTCCCGGACGTGGGCGCCTCGTTCTTCCTGCCCCGGCTGGACGGCGAGCTGGGCACCTACCTGGCTCTGACTTCGGAGCAACTGCTGGGGCCCCAGGTCCTGTTCGCCGGCATCGCCACGCACTACCTGCACTCGAGCATGCTCGGCAAGCTGACACAGCGTCTGTCCGAGCTGGTGTTCCAGGACTACACCACGCTGCCGGAGCGCCTGGACCTGGTCAACAGTACCATTGCAGAGTTCTCGACGGGTCTGCCGGAGTCGACCACGGTGGATCTCGGCGGCGCGAAGCGGGAGGCCATCGACCGCTGCTTCAGCCACAACACGGTTGAAGGGATTATCGAGGCCCTGCAGCAGGCGAATACGAGTTGGGCCGAGCAGACCCTGAGGACGCTGGCCAAACGCTCGCCCACCTCCCTCAAGGTCGCGCTGCGCCAGATGCGCGTCGGTAAGCAGTGGTCCATCTCCGAGGCCTTCCAGCGCGAGGCCCACATCGCCGCCCAGTTCATGCGGCACCCCGACTTCAACGAGGGCGTCAGGGCCCTTTTGTTTCGCAGGCGTAGACCCAGGTGGCAGCCTGCCTCCTTGGAAGAGGTCACCACCGACATGGTCGACCGCTTCTTCACGCTCCCGGAGGGCGAGTCCCGCCTCGAGCTGCTGAGCGAGCACGACTACAACGACTACCCCTACAACTACGGTCTGCCCACGGAGGCGAGCATCCGGAGGTACGTCCGCGGCGAGATGAGCAAGAAGGATGACCCGATCGAGCACTTTGTTGGTCTGACTGGCGGCAAACCGGGTGTGCGCGAGAAGGTGAGTGAGGTTCTGCAAAGAAAGGCCCAGCGGAGCAAGAATGGCGTCTGGCTCTGGAAGTAGGAAGAGTGGAATCTCTTGAAAGAAAGCACTGAAAAGGGAGTCATTATGTAGCACCGGTTTGGGATTGTGTATAGTTATGTGTATGTGATTGGGAGTTTCTCTTGTTGCGGACTGAGTATTCATGTGGGCTGTGTTTGATACAGTTAGACTTAAAGTTTTCTTGATGGTGTTGGTTTGCGTCTGTAGCTGTAGGACTGTAGGGGAGTTTGATAATCACGGAGTAGAAAGAGTGCATGTTGGGGGTCTGCTCTTGTGTACTGTACTTCACCTGTGTATGTGTCCGTCTAGACATGCACGCACCTATTCTACATGAAAGAGTCAACCACCAAGCCACACCACCACCTACACCTACACACTCAATCACAACAACAACACCCAGCCATCAAACGTATCCATCCATCCATTATAAGTATATCCTAATTTCAATCCCTCCCCCCCAAATCACCAAAACCCAGAAATCTATTGCCCCCCAGCTCCGACATACTCCGCCATCGCCTTCACCGCCCCCTCCAACCGCCCCCGCTCAATCAAAATCAAACTCCCCTTGGTCCGGATCCCCAACTCCTGGAACGCGCGCTTGGAGTCGGAGTGCCCATCGTCCTGCTTCCGGGAGTACTCGAACGAGCCCGCGCAGAGGGCATGCTTCTCGAGTACCTCGTCCTCGGGGTGGAAGAAGAACCGATCCGTCTTTCCTGCGGCAGATTTCTTCCCCTTCTTCAGGGGCCGGGACTCCTCCATGTCCAGCTTGGACTGCACCTCCTCGTAGGTCTTGGAGAGGAGGAGGTAGTGCGAGAAGTCGAAGGGCTCGTGGTCGGCGACCGCGTGGGCGATCTCTTGCTGCAGCATCGTGTACATGGGCGGGACGACCTCGGCGGGCATGTTGATGAGGCGCTCGGTGAGGAGGAGGCCGATTTTGTGGGCGCCCGAGGCACCCGACAAAAGAGGGACGAGGGGGGAAAGGGATGTGTTGGTGGTGGCTTTTTGGTGCAGGTAGTGCGTGAGGGATTGGATTATGGGTTTGTCCTTTGATTTTGGGGGGTTAGTGTTTTGGGGTGGGTTGGTGCAGGGGGTAACAGGCGCAACTGACTTTATGTTCTTGGAGGTTGAGCACCGTTAGGAAGGCGTAGGGGTCGGATTCCTTGCCATCGGTTTTGATGGTCGAGCCCATCCAGGCTTGCGAGAGGATCAGATCGGTTAGGGCCGACATGTCCAGGTCTTGGGCGTCGTTGTCGAAGAGTTGGCGGAGGAGGTTCTTGAGGCCGTGGAAGTCGACCTCCGGGTCCGGGTCGAACCATTCGAAGTCTACGTTGACCATGTCGATGTCCTTTGCGAGTTTATTGAGTTAATTTGGTTGTTCCTTCTTTTCTGGAGAGGGTATTCTGGGATAGTGGTGGTAGGCGCAAAACATACCTCGTCGGAGTCGGAGTCGTTCTCGACGCGGGGATCTGTACCCCCCATGTCGACGTCGGTGTCTTTGATTTCCTTGCGCTTGACCATTGTGTCTGTCTCCTTTGTGTTTGTGTTTGTGTGTGGTGGGAATGAATGAATGTTTATAGAGGAGAATTGATCGTACAGTAAGTAGTAGTTAAGGCGGAGCGAAACAAAAAGTTGCTCGGAGCCCGGCCGCGGGTCCCCTCACTAACCGCTTTGGTTCATTTTTTTTTATCGATAGGCAGTGTCTTATCGCCGATAACCACAACTTATCGCTGGCTTCAATTTGTGGATGCCTAAGGATCTTGACGAGGTCTTTGGTGTGCTTCGTGTCCGGTACACACAGACTGTCTCTCTTTGGGATAATTGTTTATTGTTCCAGCTTTACGAGCTCATTCCACCTGATACTATGCACTCAATGCTATGCACTCGACGCTATGTGCACTCCTACTGCGTACAGTCCGCCGAGGCGGAGTTTCAGCATTGTGTTCTCAAGCAGTCGACACACCAACACGCACCAACGCTGGAACTCATACTTGGAAGTGACAGCTGTGATTGAATTCTTAAAGACTCGTTTATGAGGCACTCTGATCGTACGTATGGTGCTTTCCATCTAAGGAGAACCAACAACAAGATCACTGAGATGGTGATCTTGCAGATACCATTGGGCGGTCATGACAGCTTCAGTGGCAGCCCAACAAGTGACGACAACAGAGTGTGAAGATAGATTGCTTGAGGACGAGCAATCTAACGAGACAAGCTCCATCATGCAATGTGGAATGATGGATAGACCTCTTGGACACCGACCTCCGGAGCAAAGAGCTCCTAAACCACCACCCATGATATCAGAGCATAAGTTATCACCTTGTCTACGGAGGGATCAACAATTGAACACGAACAATTGAACAAGAGGCCAGTCACGCCCGCATTAACCACAAACGGGGCATGAGTAAGCCCAAAGATCCGATCCAAGATCGATCCCTCGCTTCATCAATTTCCCCTGGTCGTGGACTCGGAAAAAATTCCAATCGAAACCCGCCGAGACTGACCGGGACCGGCCAGGGTCCAACCAATGTCGTCAACTGCGCCTGGAGGGAAGGAGAGAGAAGAGACCTCGATTATGCAACAAGCTACTGGGTAATCTACCCAGGAAAAGAGCAGCAGCACTACATCATCCATCATCAGCACGCAACAGAGAGCGAAAAAAAAAGCGGTTTTGGCACCGAGCAGAAAGTGGGTGCGGTGCGTTCCCCACCGGGGTATGATCTCAGCGTCACTCCCCCATGACATCACCAACTGGGCTCTTCCTACCCTCGACAGAGGTCTATAAAGTGACCTGCACACCACATTTCCCTCCATTCAATCAGACAAACACACTTGCGAGCACAACATCAATCCCATCAACCTCAATCAATACCTCTATCTTCTTTTCATAACTACAAACACAACACCATAAACCATCATGTCTACCTCCGGATCCGGTCAGTCCAGCGTCGGCAGCCGCGCCATCTACGAGGCCGGTGACCAGCGCAACGTCCCCCAGGCCGAGTTGAACGAGCGTGCCCGCTACGCCGAGGGCCAGACCCACAGCCACAAGAACCTTGACTCCAGTACGAGTTTCCCGTTGCTCCCTCTCCTCCCGGAACGAACATCCTAACCCTGTCCCCCTGCAGAGGACCAACGCTCCATCGCCAACAAGCTCGCCTCCCAAGAAAACAAGCCCGAGAGCGACCACCACCACAACTTCACCAAGGACCCCGAGGCCGAGCTCAGCAAGCAGGACCCCACGAAGCCTGTACGTTGCGCCCCCTTTTCCCACTTGCCCCGTGATCCATCACACTTCCGTAAACTAACATCCAAGTCCACAGGCCAAGCTCCACGGCAACAAGCCCTCCAAGGGCGCCCAGATCGACGCCGAACTCCAGGCCGAGGACGAGCAGAGACTCAAGGAGAAGGGTATCAAGCACTAGATTCTGAAAATAATGCCTGAAGCTGGACTTTATGTATAATATTCTTGTTGGAATTCGGTGTTATCTCATCGGTTAAAGATACGTGATGACGATTTTTTTGGAATGATGATTGATTTGGATGCGCAATGTTTAGTTCTCTGGGTTTTGTAGTGTCTGGTGTAGAGTGGTTTTGAGGTTCTGGTTCGGCTTTAAGAGTTGTGCGTGGGGGGTGGGGAGCCCTTTGTACATGTTGGCACTATTCTGCTAGCGTCTATCATGGAGAGGATGAGCCATGCTCCAAGACAAGATCTTGGGATAGAAGGATAGAAGGTATCATGAATGAAGATTATACAAAACATGTATCAGTGTAGAATCGTAAGATGTACGCAACGGTCCACCCCAAACCCGTGTCATTCATAACGCATATCTGTCAGATTGAAGAGAAGAAAAAACAACAACTGTTTGTGGTATCGACTTTCAGCAAAAAAAAAAGGATCAGGCGCTCATCAACCGAACTTGGGATCATCGTCGTGCGGCTCGGCAAAGACATTGCCCCAGTAGGCCTCGACCTTCTCGCAGATCTCGTCCTTGCGCTCCCAGGTCCAGAAGCTGATGGCGGGGTCGCAGCTGACGTTCCTGATCTCCGCCCAGTAGGCGCGCTCGACGTCGTAGCGGAACCGCTGGACGGTGTCCTCGGGGACGAGCCAGGCGCGGCCGTCGGAGCCGTCGGCGCGCAGCGTGGGCGCCGTCTCCCACTTCATGCCGAACACCTTCTCGCCCGGGTTGAACTTGGGGTAGTTGGCGTGGATGAAGAAGGCCGGGGGCGCGGGGGCCACCGCGGGGTCCTGCACGCGCCACTGGCCCGCGCTCGTCAGCGCGTGGTCCGCGATCGGGTCCGTCTGCACCATCGCCGACCCGGAGATGCCGCCGCCCGGTTTGGCGTGCCCGACCGCCTGCACGCGCTCGCTGACCGCGTAGAACGGCTCGCCCACGGCTGTGGCGGCCTGCACGAAGGTCTCCTTGTCGCCCTCGCCCGGCGCCCCCTGCGACAGCAGCCGGAAGTAGTGCGACGGGCCGTAGTAGTTGTAGTACGCGGCCAGGAGCAGGGTCATCTGGTGCGTCTTCTTGGAGACCAAAAACGCCCCGGCCTCCGACGAGGCGCGCGCCGACATGGGCGGCATCGCTTGGCGCGAGATGTTGTAGTAGAGCGGCGACGCGGTCATCGCCCAGAAGTCCGGCCACGTCACCAGCCCCGCCGACTTGAAGGGCTCCGCGTCCAGCAGCACCTCGGGCTTGGTCAGCGGGAAGCAGTCGGCGTCCATCCAGATGACCTCCTCGAAGGAGGAGAACAGTACCGCGAAGATCTTGAGCTGGTAGTGCTCGATGGCGTTCTTGCCGACCACGTCCGAGAGCACCAGGCACCGTGCGCCCAGGTCGGGGAGGATGTCATCGCAGATCTGCTTTTCGTACTCGTCGGTGTCCTTCATGTAGACTTCCACCGGCAATGTCGAGCCCAAGCGTCGGAGCATCCGCAGCGACGACAGAAACACGGGGAAGTAGGTTCCCCCCGCCGTCGAAACCACGCCGCGAGTGCCGGGAGAATGGACGGGTCGCAGTTTCTCGGCCGTCCGACACGCCTCGATGTAGCGTGCATGCGCCTCCTCCATGGTATGTAGGTCCTCTTCATCGAGGGTTGTCAAGTCGGGGCGAGGGTCGGTGGACGTGGCGTCGAAGCCAACGGCGCCGGCATCGTCGGTGTGCCCAGGCGATGGGCAGTTTGGCCCATTCTCTTCGAGGATCGGTTTCAAGACCTTCCAGAATGCATTTTGGCGTTCGACTAGAGGGACCTCGAAGGCCGTACTGGGGACTACCGACGCTGGCGGGGGTGCCCAGTATACATAAACGGTGCAGATGAGGAGTAAGGCGCCGGTGGCCGTGATGAAAGATTTCAGTCTACCCGGTCGAAGGATCGGCATCTTGGTATCGGAGACCGCGTCTCAATTGAGAGGTTCGCCGGCTAGCAGTCTTCACGAAGGCAATTCGTTTCTTGGCTGGTTTCGTTTCGTCGATCGCAAGGTTTGTCCAGTGGGTACGGGGAGACACTGGAAGTATCGTTCAATAGCAGGTAGTCGTGCAGTGCATTCAAGCAGGAGCCAACATGATAGGCGACTTTGGGAATAGGGGGTTGTGTAGGAAGGATTGGCGGCGATGTTGTTGTCCCAGGAGAGATGCGAATCACGGCCTGGATTATTCTCGGGCTCTGGAAGGCCTCAAACGCTGATCGATCGGAAGGATAGTGGGCGGATAAGTCAGACTGGGGATAGTCGGACAGTTGCAGCCATACAGCTAACACTTTTTCGAGTTATGAATGTCGGTCTCAATTGACCTCGACGCCGTCGAAGTGGAATCCATGGTTGGCAAGTGGATGGCGATCGTCGAGAGATGCGCTCCCCTTGGGTAGGCGGTGGCAGAATCCAGGACTTACGTTGCGCACCACTATAAATAACCACGTCTACGAGTCATTGTAGTCTGGAGATAGTCATCGGTGGATGTTCAAGGTTCTTAGTTGTGCTTGCTGACTCAAGGAATCTCATTCTGCAAAAGCCTTGCAGGTCAATGGGAAAGAAATGCTTCGTGCAATTATCGGACGACTATGAACACAGGCTAAGAAGGCCTGTGGATAGGAACAGTCTCAATCATATAGTGCAGTGCAGCCACGGCTCCCGGAGGAGAGGTTTGAGTTGGGACGGTTTGTCATGGCTCCGAGCTGAGTCCTATATCCGAGAATCGACAATGGGACCGTTGGGGAACTGCACAATAAATGGATACTCCAAGGATGTTCGAGTTTGGCCGAGAAGTGTAGATTGAAGTGTAGAAGATTGCCCCAAAGGAGTAATAGATTTAGAAGGCCGGCCAGACCCGAATCCGGCCCGGTGGGAACATGTGCCGCACTAGTCCCTGTTGGGTCTCCCCAACTTTCCTCCAGGCTGGGCTTCTCGCTGCCTCGCTCATGCATTATTCATCATTTCTCCTATTCCTCAATTGTCTTCCTCTTCTCAAGCTCTAACCATGGTTCAATATCAACCGGCGGGGACCTTGAAATGGAGCCTACAGCTAGAGGCAATTTTATTCTGACGAATACACATTTTCTCTCACCGTGTGCTAAGAATACTAAGAAGTTAATAAGTCAATAAATTTAATCTCCGGGTCGGCATCTCCTAACGGCGGATGATACCGCAACGATCGCCGCTTCTGCCCTTCACTGCCCGTCCACCTTTCCAGGACCCCATTGCAAAGCTAGAATGAGGGCCTAATGGGGGTCATCTCTGATATGTTTGTGTGATAAAATCTCGAACCGTCCAACTTCACTTCTCCCAGTCACCTCGATCCCTTGTCGATTTCGGTATATAAGCTTCGACGGTGTTGCTACCACTGCTCCTCCCATCTTGCCACCGTCGACTTGACCACACGATTAACCTACTGCCTTGCTTGATCTATCATCCATGGGACCCCGCACCCCGGGTCACCTCCACTTGGCTTGTCTGAGCTTGTTCCTGCTTACCTCTCCTCCAGTCCACGATTTGTAGTCGGCTTGGTGATGGAACCTCTGCCAACGGGGCCGGGGCGCAAATCGCCGCCGGTCTCCGCCGCACCTCCGCGGAAAAGACGGAAGAGAACAGTCATCAGCCAGGCAGCCGATGACTGTTTTACCTGTGCTCGACAGGCAAGTCAATGCGATCGGAGACGACCATACTGCTCCCAATGCTTGGACAATGGCCGCGATTGTGCCGGCTATAAGACCAGTTTGACGTGGGGAGTCGGGGTGGCCAGTCGGGGAAAGCTTCGAGGACTATCCCTGCCTGTGACTGGGGCTCAGCCAGCTGCAGCCTCATCGCAGCCTCGTGCGGCAGCCGCGTCGAGGGCATCACAGTCGACAGACTCCAGTGCATCGGAGTTGCTTGCGCATACAAGACCACTTTCTACGTTAGACTCGTCGGAAGTCGGTCGCACACCTTCTAATCCGAGGATACGTCCTAGGCCAGACCTACCTGCGAATCAGTTGCCACCGCATTCGAGTCCGGTGTCATCTGTTAACCAAGCCCCTTCCAATCGTTCGTTACCTCGTTCAGAATCACTACCCGTGTCATCCTGCCATCACGCGACACCTTCTCCTTCGGTGGCTCCTTCGAGATGGGCAATGCCGATATGGCCAGCCTCAATACAGACTTCAATACCAATTGCAAAGGCCAGGGATGATCCAAGTGTTGAAGAAGAAGCCGTACAGAGCTCAGAGCAGAGTGGTCAGGACAGGACTCCTTGGGTCGTTGAATGTCATGCGCCATCCTTATCTCAGCAGCTACTAGCGCGCTCAACCGGACGAACGCCGCGCCTGCGATTCCTGATTAGCTATTATGCTGAAGTGATTGCGCCAATGATCGTTGCTTTTGATGGGCCGACCAATCCATTCCGCACGTATGTTCTGCGATTAGCGCAAGAAAGCGCATCGCTCCAAGAAGCCATAGCAACCCTGTCTCTTTGCAATATGCGCCAGAGACGAGAACGGGGCACAAGGTCTACCGAGCGTACCCTGCCCGCACGGATGTCATCATTGGCTCACCAGGCTTTGACGGAGGCGTCCTTGAGCACCCAGGCTGGTGTTGACGTCCCCAAAGTTTCGGCGCGCGAAGAGCATCTTCACAGAAGTATGGCGGTCAAGGCATTGAATGGAGAATTGGCCGATCCGCGACAACGGCTATCGGACTCGGTGCTCGCGACTTTACTCGTCCTATGCCTCTTCCATGGGTGTGACACGGGGGTCGCGCAATTCAAGACCCAATTCGCTGGTGTGACCAAGTTGCTGGCCATTCGGCTGTGCAACGGCGCCGCCCATGTGACCGAAGAACTGAAATGGTTTATTCGCATGTTCACCTGGCTCGACACTATGACGGCCACTACGAACGACCGGGACATCCAACTTCGCGGCGCTTGTCTGGACATAACCGCAATTTCGGATGGCGAATGGGGGCTCGAAAATCTGGCTGGGTGTAATGCCAGCCTGTTCAAACTCATTGCGCAGCTTGGTCGCCTGAATCTCCTCAGTCGAAGCCAAGATACGCAGACCTCGGCATCTCCAGAAGTCCATGCCCCATCAACCACTGTCCCTCCCCATATCGCGTATACCTCCACGAGTACACCGAGTATGCCTTCCGAGTCGTTTACGAGGTTCATTCCTCCCCAGGCGGGAGACTCTAGCTCAGCCCCGG